GCCTGTTTATAGCCTCCCAAGAGCTGAGATTATGGGTGCACACAACCACACCCAGTCTCAATTGCTGACTCAGCATGTGGGGGGGTGGGCAAGCAGGCCTGGGATCAAACCCCCCCACCCTGTGTCTGCTTACAGACGCTTTAACCTGCTAAGCTATTTGGCTGGTCCAATGCATGGGTTTTGTTTTTGCGGAACCAGGGATTGAACTCAGGCCCTTGTGCTTGCCAGGCAAGCGCTTATTCTACTGAGCCATCTCCCGGGCCCCACGATGCATGTATTTTATTGATAATTTTTCTGGTTATTAGACACTAGCAGGTAAAATGGGCACCTGTATCTTTGGCACAGCCCTTCATTTCATAGCCTGTACTTCTAGAAGATCATTTTTGGGTGGAAATTATCTCAAAAGTAAGTTTTAAGATTTCTACTACATGCACTTAGTTTGTGAGACTTGCAAACTTTGGCCTACATAGAATAAAACTTACACTGGGTGTAGTACGACAAACCTGTAATCTTGGCTACTTTAGGAAGCTGAGGCACATGGATCACAAGTTTGAATCCAACCTGGGCGATTTAGCCAAGACTGGACCAAAAAAAGGCTGGGAGGAGGCAGATCAGGAGTAAAGCATGGGTGAGGCCTGGATTCAATCCCCAATACCGGAAGAACTCCCTAAGCTACCAACCTACGAAGCAAACAGTAAGTGCGCTTAGGGGTATTTTCCAAGCTGCAGGAAGCTGGAGCAGCCTCCACTAGGTGTTCCTGATTTGCCATCCACCCACCTTGTTAAATTGCATTTCACAAATCTTTGGAACCTCTACTTAGCCTCTTCCCTAAATTCATTTCAAATTTTGTTTTTCAGTGCTGGTGATCAAACTTGGGGCCTCAAGCATAAAGGGCAGGGTTGGGGAGTTGGCTCAGTAGAATAAGCGCTTGTCTGTCAAGTGCAAGGAAGGGCCTGAGTTCAATCCTCGGTTCTGCAAAAATGAACAAATAAAAGCATAAGGGGCAAGAACTACTAGAGAGCCCAGCCCCTGAACTGTTACCAAAACCAAAAATCAGTCTGTGAATCACACAAGCGAACCCAACACTATTAATTGGGCACAGTGGCAGAAAAGGGGCTCAAATTGTAGTCTGGTGAAAATCACGTGTCACTCCTCAGTTTGCACTGCAACATTTTATGCAACAGGCAAACACATTTGTGGACTATAAACTCATTCTCGATGCAGACCCTGGCCCAGCAGCATGAATACTGTGGGTTCATGGGACCAAGAGATTAGTAGGCTAGCTTTCTCCCAATGGGAAGAACTATCGAGCCTCCCTCCAGTCCCACATTCCCTCCACGTCACTGGGATGCTCAATGGCTGCTCTTCAGCCTCCTCTGTGCATCACCAGGCCAGATTCGCCTGGTACCCGAGTTTACAGATTCAGTAGCCCTACAGCTGTCAGTTTGACCACCAGGAGCACACTCCTCTAACATGATTTTTTAAGACATAGGGACAGTCCCAAAAGTATAAGTCATTGTACCAGAAATTAAAAATAAGGAGCAGTATTTTTTTTAGTGTTCTAAAATCACATGAAGGTCTTATGAGTGGCAGAATGATTTTTATTGAGCCAGGGTCTCACTGTGTAGTGCACACTGACCTCGAACTCACAGCAATCCACCTCAGCCTTCTGAATGCTGGGATTACAGGTGTGCACCACCAAACTCAGCTTTTTTTTTTTTTTAATATTTTATTTGTGTGTGTGTGTGTGTGTGTGTGTGTGTGTGTGTGTGGCCAGCTCAGCCCACCAGGGGGCGGGGCTGGCTGGCATGTGGTGCTGGGGGATTGAACCGCGGTCCCTGTGCTTTTAGTTTGTTCTAAGTAGGTGCTTTAGACCACTGAGCCATCTCACCAGCCCTCAGCTTTCTTATTTTATACATTAAAAATTCAGTTACTGAGGCCAGGCATGGTCACATGTGCCTGTAATCCCAACTCAGAATCCTTCTGAGTACCAAGCCAGTTTTACCTACATGTGAGTTCAGGCTGTGTCTGAAAATATATGGTGGGACTTTGTCTCAGAAAAAAAAAAAAAAAAAAAAAAAAAATTGTGAAGAAAACTATTCCTTCAAAATGTTTTGACCTACACTTGACCATTTAGGCACACACAGTACCAGAAAACAGGCGGTGCCTTTTGCTGAGGAAGCTGGCCTGGAGTTGGTCTTGCAGATTCTGGAACAGAATAGCTAACAGAATAAGCCCCCAACCGCGCCCCCAGGCTCTCGGGCATTTCTCAGCATGCAGGAAGCCTTGTAAAAGGTGTCATTTTTCTCAATAATCAGAGACCACAGAAATACCAACTGAGGAGCCAATCAAAGAATTCATGAGAAAAACATTCACTGCCATGTGCCTGCTTCAAAGGAGATTACTCAAAACAGAAAGATAAGTTTTTAAAATTGTTTATTTGGGAAAAGTGCTTCTTACAAAAGGGCAGCTGTAAAATACAGAGACCTCTGCCAACAATTAACTTGGTTTTTTTTAAAGTGAAACAATGGGCGGGGTCTGAGGAATCAGAGCAGTAGATGGACAAATCAGGAACATTTCCCAAGTTATTTTCAGGAATCAGAGTGACAAAATGTAAAGATAAACTTCCCAGGGAGGAGTTCTTCTAACAAGTTACCTCAGCTTATCCCATGAACCCCTCCCCCTTAGAGGAAGTGTGACTTATGCTGCCAACCAGCTACAACGCTACGATGTGCACCTTCCGTCACGTCTGTCTGCCTGCCTGCACGGCGCGGGATGGGCCGAGGCAGCACGACTGAAACAAACAGCTCCTACACCAACCAGAAGCCTCAACCAGGACAAAGCGTGTTCAAAAGTGCCTGGACCAGAAAGGCGAGACCATAAAACACAAAAGAAACCCAACACTGTATAACCAAGCACCAGTGGGTACTGGTAGATGGCGTAACCGGGTCACTAACCTCCCTGGCTAACTGACTGGTAACTAGACAGTTCGCCCGGTTACATTAACTACCTTTCACTGCTTTGTCCTTTCAGATCTATGGGCAACAAGGGGCTGACACCACGAAACGAAGTCTGTCCGCTAACCCTAAGAAATACCTGCGTCTATGCAGGGGCGGAAGCTTCTTGCACGCCTGCTTATGCTCACACACCTTGTCTTCGGCTTCTGGGTGTCCACCACCAACCCTGTACTCGTGGAAGCCACTGACACCATGTGTGTCTTTCCGAAGTGCTCCTGTCACACTAAGCTCACACTCACAGCTGATTCTAGCTGCCCCAGTAGTATCCATGAGTGCAATGAAACAAGAGACCAGAACCACAGGACAACCACGTGGGGTGGGGTCACAAGGAAGGAGCAGACATGAACACAGACGCGCAGGGCTCCCCGCAGCGCAGGACCCACTGCTATCTCCAGAACAGAAGGCTACTTACTTGCCAGCTCAGGTCCCTTCACCCGTCAGCCCTACTCTTGGACCACCAAGCACAGCCGGTGCTTTTCCATTTGAACCTGGGAGCCTTGAAATGAGTGTGGAAAGTCCATAAACACAACCAGGCCAAAAACAGGTGACTCAACAACCCTATGCTAACTGTCTGACAGTTAAATAGATGTTACAAAAAAAGCTAACTTGAAGATTTATTTTTGTAACTTTTTGAAACAGAGAAAACGACACACTCTTGGGGAAGTGGGGTGGAGAACAGGCCCTGGTAAGTGGTCACGACAGCACCTGGAGTTGAGGCCTGCCTAGGAGAGCAACACACTGCCATGCGGCACAGAGGACAGCTACTGTCTGAGGCTCGGCAGGCCGTTCCCTCGCCATGCAAAGCTGCTATAGGTCCAAGTCATAAAAGTCTTCCAGCTCATCGTGATACAAGTCCCACTCATCCTCAGAGTCAGTCAGCTCGTCGTCCCCACCTGCAGCCAAAAGCATAAGCAACATCTCGCCCAGCTCAAAGGTGACCACCTCCTCTTCATCGTTGTCAAAAGGGCTGCTGTTCTCTCTTTCCTCAATGAGCTCCCAGAAGTGGTTCCTCCGTTGGGCCTGTAAGAAACAAGGCCATGATAGGGGTAGCACTGCTGGGTAGTGTCTTCTATTCTGTCACTTACAAGGCAGAGCGTCCAGACTTCAGATTTGCAGTTCCACCCAACCAATGCCTCCCCTGGGTGGCTCACTGCAGGCTGGCGAGGCTGGGGCTTTGTGCACTTGACTCCTCCTGTCTTGCTACCAGCTACCCCGCCCAGGTTCTGAGCTTCTTCCTCTTGGAGGCCTGTCTAGTCTGCTCCCAGACCTGAGCATTAACCTGCTGCCTCTCCCCCAACATGTATGACTCATCTGACAGTGTGATGTTCCCATCCTTTAAGAAAACAGTGAGAGTTACCCGGTATCTGCTTGATGTTCCCACTTTCTGTCTCTGTGGCTCCTCTCTACGGCCATCAGGGTACGCATGCTTGTAAAAACAGTTCCCTCCAAATGGGCAGCTCCCACGGCCTTCATCAAAATACCTGCATGCCTTGTTGCTGGAAAGGAAAATATCGCAGCCCTTATTCACAGTGGACTTCAGGTCTGTGACTATCACCTGAGGTTTGTTACGCAGGGAGGACAGAGGCAGATGCCTGCACACAACCCTCCCAAGGTGTGTGCTCATCAAGATATGTGCTAATGCATGAGATGCTACAAACAAACTCTGATCAAGTCTATACTGTTTACCAGCTCTAGCACCGCCGATCCAGCAGAGCGCAAACCTTCTAGAAAGCCAACACATAAGAATTAATACAGGACAACTACAACATGGGCTCAGACTCGGGGGAGGCAGAGTCCATGTGCAGGCTTCGACGATCACCATATAGATGTGATTATAACTCAGTCCCTTGGCATGCACCCCAAGGACTGTGTTATAACAAGATACAAACTGGGCAAGTGGTATCGGGGCAACAAGAGACTGCACTGAGGGGTAAAGAAAGGGTAGGAAGGAGGTAGGAGTGTATAATGCAGCACTGTTCTTTCCAAAGTGAACCCAGACTGCTAGGCTCTAGGCTTGAGAAAGGCTGCAGTGCTCATACCTCATTGCCTCCTTGTATTTCTGAATGAGTTTCTGCTTCTCTTCTTTCTCCTCCACCCAGTACTCACTTGGAATGACAAAGTTAGATGTGATCCGGCATTCGGGGCAGGACCTGGGAAACAATGAACAGGCTGCAGTGCTTGTCCCGCCAGAGGACAAGGACACACCCCGGTGTGCTCCCTGACTTGGCACCTGGGCCGAGGTTTTGGGCACTGCCTGATGGGGTCACCCTGTCCCACATCGGCCCTGGGAGGCACAGACAGATGCCTTCACAGGTTCTGCTCAACAGCTAGCTAGTTCATTTAAAAAAAAATAACTTAAGCTTAAAAACAAAAGACATTTCACACAGACTCCTTTTTCTTTCGTTGAAATAAATTTATTTCTTGTAACTTTGCTCTGTTTAGATTATGTAGCTTTTGTTCAGTCATGAGAACAATCTTAAAGAATGGTGGATTATTGGCTAGCTTAATGGATGGAATAGGAAAGTGATGTCAAATGTCAGGAAACACACATTCAGAGCTAGTTTCTCCACAGAGCCTAAACCAGCTAATTCATTAAACACAATCTCCTTGGAAAAAGCACAAAAAACCTACTAACTGATACACAGGGCATCCTCATTTTAAATAAAGTAGAGATCGACTACCCTACCAGCTAGCAAGACACAAAGAAGGAATCCCAGTTAGAATACCCAGTGTCAACATAAAAATGCATGCTTTTAAATGCGGTCCATCTGGTTGAAAGTTGGCACAAGATACTACATTCTTCCCCAAAACAGAAAGCACAAATGAAGATTGGGGAGGAGTCTCACTTTATGATCTTGCTCTCAAATTGCTTAGCACTCCTCCACTTGCGAATACACTTGAGACAGTAGGTGTGGCTGCAGTTGGAGAGGATGCCGAAGCGGCGCTCACTGGGGTTGGCTTTCTCATACACCACCTCCATGCAGATGCCACACACCATGTCTTTGCTGCGCTGCACGGCAAAGGACAGCTCCATGTCCTTCTCATGGGCCTCGATGCAAGACTGCAAGAGGGGAGAACACAAGGAGGTCAGGCACTGGACCGCTGGGGACGCTGGCCCCAAGATTCATAGCTCAACTGGAAAGGCCATGTTCTCAACCAGACTTGAAAAGGGAACATGGGCCTAAAGGCATTATGGAACTTCATGATAACGCAGCATCAATCAATCAAGACTGTGAGGATGGAACTTCACGGACTGAAAACTCACCCAACTTCACAGTTTTTTTTTATTATTTTTTAAAAAATTTTTTAAAGTTTATTTATTTGTTGTGTGTGTGTGTGTGTGTGTGGCCAGCCCAGCCCACCAGGGGGCGGGGCTGGCTGGCATGTGGTGCTGGAGGACCAAATAGCAGTCCCTGTGCTTTGTCAAGCTTGTTCCAAGTAGGTGCTTCAGACCACTGAGCCATCTCACCAGCCCCCACCCAACTTTACTGTTTTGAGAGTTTCACTATGTAGGGAGGGTAGCTTCAAACTCATGGTGATCCTTCATACTCAGCTTTCTGAGTACTGGAAAAACTCACTTTAAGCTTTGCACACTAAGACAGTTTTCCAAACTTTCTATTTTCAGATGGAGAATATAATCAGAATTAAGGATCTTAATTTAAAATCTGTGAGAAGGGCCGGCCAAATGGCTCAGCAGATTAAAGTGACTGGTAGGCACAGGGGCTGGGGGCTTGCTGAGACTGCGATTGACATTGGGCATGGTGGCACGTGCCTGTAACCTCAGCTCTTGGGAGGCTGTAAACAGGTGGATCACTACAAGTTCGATCCATCAGTGAGAACCTGAACACCCTGTAGACCCTTCCCTAAAAATACAAATCTGTGAGAAGATAGCCTACAGGAGCCAGCATGCTGGTGCATGCCTGTAAGCCCAGCACATGGTCCAGCCTGAACTACACAGTGAATTTATTATCTTAAAAACCAAACGAAAACAAACCAAAACAAAACAAAACAAAGAATAAAGGTAAAAGAAACTAACCTTTATTATATGATAATTATGGGCGAGGCACATAACTTCTGTATCTCCATTTAATATATTTATAGTTCTGGAACTCAAAGCCAGAGCCTCATGTTTGCTAGCAAGAGCTATCACTGAACTACCAACTACTCACATGCCTTTATTGTGGTAATTCTGTCTCTCTCTCACACACAAACACACTTCGTCCATTGGAGTATGCAATTAAATAATTTTAATACATTAAAAACTATATAACCATTAACACAGTTAACATTAGAATGTTTTCACCCCCACCCCCACGCCCACATACAAAAGAAACTGCATGCCCACTAGCAGTTGTACCTTCCCACAAAATCCCTAGACCTCGGCAACCAAGGATGTGGGGATTTGCCAGTGCTCTGGCTGCCGTAACCACTTAGTTCACACAGCAAGTTTTCAGTTACTGTGGGTGCAGAAGAGCTGTACTTGCTGTCTGCTGGGTGGATATACACTTCTCATGACACACATTCCCATTCCAGGAATGGACACCTTTTAGTCTGTAGCATGATTACAGAACATGCAGAAAAGCAATAGAAAAGCCACCTATACAGCTGGGTGCAATGGTGTATACCCATACTTCCAGCAATGAAGCAGGAAGTTTGAGCTCAAAAATGCCATAGGGGAAAAAAAAAAAAACACACACCAAAATCCTGGGGCCGGGGAGATGGCTCAGTGGAATAAGCGCTTCCCTGGCAAGCATAAGGACCTGAGTTCAAGCCCCGGTTCCGCAAAAACAAACAAACAAATAAACTGGGCTGGTGAGATGGCTCAGTGGTCTAAAG